TTTTACTTCCCAAAGTCTAGCAGTTGATGAGTTCTGAATGAATTCTTTTTTAAAAAATATTTTAATTTGAAAGATAGAATTACAGAGAGAGGTAGAGCCAGAGAGAGGTCTTCTATCTGCTGGTTCACTCCCCAGATGGCTGCAACGGCTAGAGCTACTCTAATCCGAAGCCAGGAGCCAGGTGCTTCTTCCCGGTCTCCCATGTGGGTGCAGGGGCCCAAGCACTTGGGCCATCTTCCACTGCTTTCCCAGGCCACAGCAGAGAGTTGCATGGGAGGAGGGACAGCCAGGACTAGAACTGGCACCCATGTGGGATGCCAGCCCCGCAGGCGGAGGATTAACCCACTGCACCACGGTGCCAGACCCCGAAAGAATTCTTTAATGAAGAAAGACCCAAAAGATGTCCCAATAGGCATATGCAAAGGTTTTCAGCTTCACTAGTCACCAAAAAATGTACATTAAAACCAATAAGGGGGCCGGCACTATGGTGTAGCAGGTAAAGCCACTGCCTGAATCCCATATGGATACAGGTTCGAGTCCTGGCTGTTCCACTTCTGATCTAGCTCTCTGCGATGGCCTGGCAAAGCAGCAGAAGATGGCCTGGGTCCTTGGGCCCCTATACTCGCATGGGAGACCCAGAGGAAGCTCATGGCTCCTGGCTTCAGATTGGCTCAGCTCTGGCCATTGCAGCCACTTGGGGAGTGAACCAGCAGATGGAAGACCTCTCTCTCTCTCTCTGTAACTCTGCCTTTCAAATAAAGAAATAAATCTTAAAAAAAAAAAAAACAAAAAACAAAAAACAAACAAAAAAAAAAAAACTAAGAGATAGCACCTTACACCCATTAGGATAGTCACTATCAGAAAAACAGAAAATAGTGTGTTGACAAGGCCATGAATGGATGGGAACACTCATGCACTGTTGGTACAACTGTAAACTGGAGCAGTGATCAGGAAAAACAATACGAGGCTTCCTCAAAGGAGTAAAAATAGAATTACCACATAGCCCAGCAGTATCGCTTCTGGGTGTACACCCAAAAGAATTGAAAGTAGCATTAGTCACAAAAGCCAGGAGTTGAAAGCAACCCAAATGTCCACTAAGGGAGGCATGGATAAACAAAACGTAGTCAGTCTACAACTACAATAGACTATTACTCAGCCTCACAGAAGGAGGGAAACTCTGTCCCACATAGATGCACCTTGAAGACATCCTGCTAAGTGAAATAAACCAAACAAAAGAGACATATCTCTCTGTGTCTGCCTTTCAAATAAATACATCTTTTTTTATTTAAAAAAAAAAAGAAGACTATGTAAGTGTGATTCCATTTATGTATGGTATCCAAACCATTCAAACTCATAGAAGCAGGAAGTGGAACAGTGGTTGCCAGGTGCTGGGCGGAGGGGGCGGGGGGGTTGTTGCTCGTGGATATGGAGCTTCAGAATTGTAAGATGGAAGCATGTCTGTCACAGGCAGTGAGGATGGACTCAACAGTCAGAACTGTTCTCTTAACATGGTGCAGATGGTGACACTTGCCATGTGTTTTTACAATGTTTTTAAAACATACATCTTCCGGGCTTGCGCCGCGGCTCAATAGGCTAATCCTCTGCCATGTAGCGCCGGCACACCGGGTTCTAGTCCCGGTTGGGGCGCCGGATTCTGTCCCGGTTGCCCCTCTTCCAGGCCAGCTCTCTGCTGTGGCCCGGGAGTGCAGTGGAGGATGGCCCAAGTCCTTGGGCCCTGCACCTCATGGGAGACCAGGAGGAAGCACCTGGCTCCTGCCATCGGATCAGCGTGGTGCGCCAGCTGCAGTGCGCTGGCCGCGGCGGCCATTGGAGGGTGAACCAACGGCAAAGGAAGACCTCTCTCTCTGTCTCTCTCTCTCTCACTGTCCACTCTGCCTATCAAAAAATGTAAAAAAAAAAAATACATCTTCCACCTTCCAAAAATCCAAACAACCAAAAGCAACCAGATCGCAAACTATAAACCCACCAGAATGGCTGAAATGCACAAAGTTGACACCGCCGGGAGTTGGAGGGCATATGGAAACACTGGCTCTCTCAGACATGATTGGTGGTAGTGGAAATTGGTGAACCACTTCCAGAGACTCGGTTTCTAACAAAGATACCTGTATGCCTACTCTATTCCCTGGTGTTTCTACTCCTGGGTCTTGAGGCCCACACATCTGTCCAAAAACACAGGCACAGATGTTCACAGCAGCCTTGTCATCATATCCCCAAACTGGAGACAACCCAAAATGCACCAAGAGCTGAATAGTTGAATAGATTGTGATGGATCGGACACTGGATGGAATATGATTCAGGAAAGAAATGGGATGGACCACTGCTAGGTACAGCAACATGGGTAAGTCCCTGACACCTAATACTGAGCAGATGTGGGCAAACAGGGAAGAATACATCCTCGTGACTTCATTTATATGAAGTCTAGGATAGTTAGAACCAGTGCACAGTGGGAGAATGACCCTTACTTCACGAAGGGGCTGGTATGGACTAAAGAACTACTCATTCAAAAGTTACAAGGGAACATCCTGGCAGGCTGGAAATATGTTGGTCTACAGGGGGTAACGCAAGTATTTACATATGTGAGAACACATTGAGTCATGCAATCAGTAGGTATTAGCACCCTTTACTGGGAGAGTACTACACATCAGTACAAAGTGAGAAAAAAAAGTAGAAAAGGGAAAGGCATTGTGGCTCAGTGGGGTAAGCTGTCGCTTGCCATGTTGGAGTGCCAGTGGGTGTCTGTGTCCTGACTGCTCTATTTCCCATCCAGCTTCCTGCTAATGTACCTAGGAAAGCAGCAGATGATAGCCCAAGTGCTAGGACCCCTGCCATCCATGTGGGAGACCCAGATGCAATTCCTGCCTCCTTGTGGCCCTTTGGGGAGTGGACTGGTAGATGGAAGACCTCTCTGTCTGTCACTCTGCTTTTCAGATAAGTAAACAAGGAGCAGCTGCTGTGGCCCTAGCAGGTAGGGCCACCACCTGCGGTGCCAAAATCCCATGTGGGTGCCGGTTTGAGACCTGGCTGCTCCACTTCTGATCCAGCTCTCTGTTTTGGCCTGGGAAAGCAGTGGAGGATGGCCCAAGTCCTTGAGCCCCTGCACCCGCATGGGAGACCCAGAGGAGGCTCCTGGCACCTAGCTTTGGATCAGCGCAGCTCCGGTCATTGCAGCCAACTGAGGAGTGAACCAGCAGATGGAGGACCTCTCTCCCTCTCTCTCTGTGTAGCTCTTTCAAATAAATAAATCCTTTAAAAAATAAGTAAACAAATAAGTATACTTAAAAGGTGTAAAACAGACTCACTCACAGAAGCAAAATTTGATTTTCTCCTATTTCTGTATTCACATGGAGAGACCTTTCTCTAGCGGCTCAAACTCAGCAGAACTTACAAAAGGGAGGATGTTACAGAAGCCAAGCATAGATCCCTCAGTCTGCTCCCATTCTACAGAGGAAAACAACAAAAACCCCAGACCTAAAGGGCAGAAGGTGTGGAGGCCAGGGTCCACAGTGAGCTCGAGGCGGAACCAGGCCCAGAGCACAGATCTCAATGCTACCCGCTGGGGACAATCTCTTGCAGGAAGGCACCGGATTCTGAGCAGGCCCCCAGGTCCACGCTACAGAGGTGGGGCAGGCGGGTAGCTCCTGGCCAGCGGGAAGTCCTGTTGCTGGGACTCCGGCTACCTGTCACAGCTGCACGATTGTAGGTGCGCTGGCACCTCGGTTCGGGTCTCAGGAGAAAGAGAGGGAAGAGCCGGCGATGTGGATTCCACTCCAGGAACTCGAAGGGCCAACACGCAAAGAGGCCCCAGGGCCGAGGTGGAAAGTGGAACCTCCTAGCCTTCTTTTGACCTTGACCAAGGTCGTTCCCTCTGGCCTCCTTGGTCCGGTTCGTTCCATAGGGAAGAACCCCGTTTCGGGCTCAGGGAAATGAAGAGAGAAGGCAGGTAGATGGGCAGTCTGCAGCCTGGGGCCGTCCTCCGGCCAGGAATGGTCCCCAGCAGGGAGCCGCCGTGGAGGGCGGGAAGCCGCGGGGCTGCAGCCTGAGGGGGGGGTGGGGAGGGACGGAGGAGGGTCCCGCGCTCTCGGCCTCCTGGTTCCCCTCCCTCCCCTTCTCAGGTTCCTCTGGCCTCGCCCCTCCCTCTCGCATTCCCAACTCCCAAGGACAACTTGTCGCTCGCCTCAGACGCCCGCCAGGGGCTTGTACCGGTGCCCCAGACTCTGCTGGCTCCCCGGCTTCTTTTGTCTATTTCTGCATTGGACGGTTCTCCTGGCTCCGCGTTCCGTGGTTCTGCTTCTCATCTCTCTCTCTCTCTTTCTCTCTCTCTCTCTCTCTCTCTCTCTCACACACACACACACACACACACACCCTTCTCTCTCCCGCCCACCTCGGCGCGTTCCTCCTCGGCTCTGGCCTTGCCCAAGCGCGCAAGGCCCACCCTCGGAATCGCCTGCCCGCCCTCCGGCGCGGTGATCCGACGGCGCCCGGGGCGGGGGCAGGTGAGGTGGCGGGGAGCCCCGCCCGGGCCGACGCGGAGGACCGAAGCGGCCGCGCCAATCCGCCGCCCAGGCCCTGTCCTCGCCCCCTCCCCGCGCCGGCGCCAGGGGGACGCAGGACGCGTGAGCCCCTTCGCGCCCCCAGCGCCGTCGGCGGCGCCGCCCTAGACGCAGACACTGCCCCAAGAGGCCTCAAAGGGGCAGGGGCGGGAGGAGCGGCGACTTCGAGCCCCCACGCCCCTCGCCCCGGGCGCCGCCACCTCCGTCTCCAGGCGCCTGGGTTCCTGCAGGCTGTGAAGAAGCGCGGAGGACGCGCGGTTGGCAGAGGTAGGTGAGGCGCTCCCCGCCCTTCCCCTCCCCGCTGCGGGCCGCGACCACGCAGATCCGAGCTGTGACCCGCCCCTCTCCAAGCCGGGCAGCCTCGTGGCCTCGCCTTTGAGGACGGAACGGCCGTGGCGGCCGTGGGCTACCTGGGGTCACCAGCCTAACCTTGAGCTCCAGGCCGACTGAGCTGCGCGGGTGGCGCCCGCCTTGGCCTTCTTGGCCGCCTGCGCGTCGCGGGCCCCGACTGTTCAAGCGAAGGTGTGCACGGGGGAAGGGAGTCGCCTCCTCTCCGTCCGCCCGCTACTGTAGCTCCCTAGAGGCCGGTGCTGAGTGCTCCGCCCAACCTCAGGCCCTCTCCGCCCGGTCCTTTCGCTCACAACCCCGGATCCAAGCGAGTGTAGCCTGGGAGACGGGAGGTGGGGATCGCTCTTTCCCGATAGAATGTGGAAATTGGCTGGAACTCTGGGCCCAGAGGGAGCCAGCCCCCAGGTCCCCACGGTGCAGAATCTGCTCAGAGAGAGGAGAGAAGAATGCTTGGGGGAAATATTTTGCTTTGGATTTTTAGGGCGACACGGGGCCTTAGCTTTCCTTCCCCTCGGACTGGGAGGGGCTCCGGTGGCCTCCTTCCTGGCAGAGCCTTTATCAGGGTGTGACGGGGTGCCAGGCGCCGCCATCTTAACTGGAAATCCAGGCTCACAGAGGCGCTGCCTGTGCATTTATGTAGCCGGGCCTGTTGTTGCGAGGCAGGGAAAGGAACTCAACCTGGTTGCCGGGACTCACGGGTCCCAAAGAGTGGGCACCGGGCCTGGGGGTGTTGTGAGGGCTCTGAGAAATTAGAAATCTGCAGAAATCTGCCCATGAAGAATCCTTTAGGACAGCGACTGGGACTGGGAGTGGCTAAGCACCTTGTCATGATGGTGGATTCTTACAGACATGCGAAAGAGACGTGGCATGCTGTGCTCCCGAGTGTGCCGTGGTGACGGTGGCAGGCAGGAAACCCCCGTTTTCCTCCGTGTGTCACCTCCTCTTCCCGCAGACTGGGGCACCGCGCAGTCCGCATACCCCGCATACCATGGAGGTGGCCGCGCCTGGAACAGGGCTGTGCCTCCCAGGATAAACAGAAGCACAAAGACAGGCCGGGTCCCGGGTGAGAGGGCTGCTCCCGGGCCTTTGGAGGAAGTCCGGGGACAGTGTGCTAGGAGCTGCCCTCCACACGGCCCTTCTAGGGCTGCAGCTCCTCCCTTTCCCCAGAATCTGCAGCACTGGGCTCCAAGTCCAGAGAGGCCTCTTCACGAAGGGGTCAAGTCTCCCCCATGCCCAGCCATCCCGTCTTCTGCTCCCTGCAAGACTTAGAGCCCCCAGCATAGGCGCAGCACGCACAGCGCCCTGGAAGGAACTCAGGGAACAGCTCTGCTGCCCACCCCCCCCCCCCCAGGCAGGAGGAGCAGGGAGAGCTCACCGGCCCTTAGAGAGGAGCCGGGACCCCCTCCCCCCACCTCAGATCATGGTCAGCTCTACCTCACCACCACAAAGGCACTGACCTCGGAGGGCGGTGGGAGCAGCCAGTGGGCTGGGAACACCTCCTGCTCTAAACTTCTCTCCCTGGCCACATTGAAACCCACATCAGGCTTCAGGAGCTGTTGGGTTAGCAAGAGAACTTGGTTACTTTAATCTCCTTCACCCTCTGCACACACAGAAAGAAAGAAAATCCGGACTCTTCTGGGCATGGTGGTGGGGGGGTGTCTTGTGGCAGCTCCAGCTGCAGTCTGTGGTACTGGCGGGGATCTGGGACCAGCACCCACAGCTGCACTGGCTACCACCAAGGCATCAGAGTAGGCTTAGCGGTGAATCGATGCCACAGCCCTTGGTTCACCCCTAAGATCCAGTGGCACCCACTTCCTCAAAAGGAGCTCAAGATGTGAGGTTTCTGTAGTTTTCAAAATGGGGGAAGAAACAATTGCTGCAGTGTTTGGAGTGGTTAGTATGGAGAAGTCTGTATTTGGGCCAGGAGCCCTGGGCGTACAGGGAAAGAGATCCTGAGTGGTTGGGACAAGTCTGGCCACTCGTGAACGTTGGCCTGTGGCAGGCTTGGTTTTGGCCCTGCAAAGTGGGGAAGGTTGGATTCTTCACCTGTTGGGGATGAGACCAGGGCACTGGAGGTCTACTCCTATCTCCTGCCTGTCTGCTCCCAAGGGCTCCAGAACCCTCTCTGTACCGAAACAATCAGGAACAGTTGGAAGAAAGGGAAAAAGCTGGAAGCATCCAGAATTGGATGCCTCCTGAACGCAATAGGGAAAAACCTATCTCCTTGGCCACTGTGCAAGTTCTAAGTTCCCACTCAGTTTGGCAACGTGCAGCAGGCAGAGTCTCAGAGCTCCCTGGAACCACAGCCCAGTGTCCCCCCCCCCCAAGCTGGCCAGAAGGACGAGGGCCTCACTTCTTCCCCCTGCCTCCCCTTGGCTGCCTTCCGCTTGCTGTGAAAGCCCGCAATGTCAGACTCCTTGAGCCTCAGGTTAGGACGCCTTCTCAAGTGGACAGGTGAGAGGAGTTTGTGAGACTGAGCACGGTCAGCCAGTGCAGGTCTTCACCGCTTTCTCCCTGCAGGGCTCTCTTAGTGCTTGCCAGGTCAGGGCCTCACCCCTGCCCTTAAAGCAAAGGGCCCAAACACTGGGCCCACTTTCCATTCTCTGGCCTTCTGGCCAACCCCAGTCTTGGTGAAAGGAATAGCAGCCTTTCCCTTGAGGGATGTTTAAGGCCAAAGCACACACCTGCCCATCACCCATCGTGGGGTCTCCCCCTTGCAAGTACCCCCGACTCCGCTGGAGGCTGAATCTGGGCAGTGAGTAAAAACAATAACGAAAAATAGCCGTGAACTCCTAAGCCTCCACAACCCAGCAAAGTCCCCGCTTAGAATGTGCGCCGGGCGGGCCGTGGTCACAGAACAGACCAGTAGGGGCTGGGGAGAAAGCCCGGAAACTCCTTTACGAGACAGAAGTCAAGGCTCAGCTTTAAAACCATAAAACTGCAGAGGGTCCAAATTGCCACTCATCAGGCCTCCCCTTACCTCCTCCTCAGTCGGTCACTCTCTGGCCTTCGGACCTGGGCTCCCGCGCTCCCCGCAGCAAGAGGGCCCTGCCTTCTCACTCCTGCCGCGGCTCCTGCGGGTCAAACGTCACCGCCGTGGACCCAGGTCTCGCGGGGGGCTGGGGGCTGTGGTGGTCGGACCAGTCGTGAGGAAGGTCTGGGGACCACCGTGTCGCCGCGCTGCGGGCTCCGTGCTCGCTGAGCGCCGGGCGGACGACAGCCGCATCCTCGGCCGAGGAGTCCCCGACGGCGCGCACAGCGAAGTGCTCCGCTAGGGATTTGTACCTTCGCCTCCCGGCTGGGCGCGGGATACGCGGGCGAGCTCCACAAATGCCTTTCCCGCCGCGAGCGGGACGGCCGCAGAGCTGTGGGCAAGCAAGGTGGCCGAGAGCGAGCGGCGCAGTCGCCGTCGGGAGAAGGGTCGGGGGCACACGGGGCTCCGCGCTGCTCTGTAGGCGCGCGCAGACAGCTCGACAGCGGGGGGTGGGATCCGGAAGCCTGGGAGGGCCCAGCTCGGAGCCCAGGGGATGTGGAGGCGGGGGAGGGGGGTCTAGACGAGGGGTTACAAAGGCGGCGGCGTCCGGAAGCGGGCCGCGGCAATTGCTCAGGTGAGGCTTCCGAGGGCAGGCAACCGCACAGCCTCCGCGGTTAGGGATGCGCGGAGCTGGAGCGGGACGAGAGGCCCTGTCCAGCCTGCATACCTGGGAGCGGCCGTAGGCGCCGACCCGCGCCTCGCCGAAAGCGGGATTTCGGTGCGCGGGGCCTGGTTGGATGGGGACCTGCAGCGCTCGGGCGCGGGGCCAAGGCGGGGGAGCGTGTCCTTCCCCATCTCCCCAGCACAGCCGGAGTCGGTCCCAGTGTGTGGGTCTCAGAGCCCCCAGCTCCCCGGGCTTCCTTTTTCCAGGCCGCCGGCGCCAGCCTCGCTCATCCCACCTTCCCAGCCGTGGGTTTCTTCTCTCCGGATGCGACCTTCCTCCCCACGGCCACCAAACCGTCTGGCGAAACCTCGCCAGGCCCCCGTCAGAGGGGCACCTCCACCCGCCCGAACCCGCCAGTTAATCAGAGCATTAAGAAGCCCCAGGAAACTCAGTGGGGCGGTTTGGAACGAGGGGGCGCTGACGAGGTCATTACCTCCGGGTGCAGCCGGGAAGCGGAGCACGCCTGGCCGCCGCAGCCCCGCCTCTGGGCCCTTCTCACCACGCGGGTTCTGGTGGCTCCTCGCGCCCACCGCCTTCCGGCTCTCCCTTCCCATGGGCTCTTTCGTTTTCCTTTTTCTTTATCATTCTCTTCTTTCCTCTGACAGCGGCGGCCAGTGGTGGACGGCCCCTTTCTCTGCCTGCTTCTACCTATACAGCCGCCTCTGGCACCTTTTTCCATTTCTAACCCTGGGCCAGAGAACTCAGAGGTCACTGTTGCAGACCGGGCGTCTGGGGTCCCAGGGCCCAGCCGCCACCACTCCTTAGACCCTTTTGTACCTGAGGAACCTGGAGAGCCAGGGAGGCGCCTGCTTTCCAAGGTGGATGGCATTTGTGCATCGGAAAAAAGAGTTCGGAAAACTTTCCCTGCTGGCCGCTGGGGCAGGTCTAGGCCCCAGTGGAGAAGAGCTTCAGGTCCTTTTAATTAGGGAGGTGGAGACCTTGTACAGGACCTTGCGCAGGAGCTGGGTGCTGTGGGCACATCATCCCGCGTGGCGTTCAGAACACCTGTGAGCAGGTGCCTGGTGTTTTCAGGGAAGGCCAGGTGACAGCAGCCTCCCCCCCCCCCCCCGCCATGGTAGGGAAGCTGCATTTGTCTGCCTTCCTCTGCCTCCCGGTTTGGGTGGGTTGTGTAGTGTGGATGAGACGTTTGTAACATTTCTGAGGCCACTCAAGGATCCTATATGGTCTGATGAAAGGCACAGATCTCGCCTACCTCCCCCCCACACACACACTCAGAAAACAACGTACTCACCAAACTGCACAATTTCAGCCTTCAGACCCGTCAGACCCCCGGTTAAGAATGCTTATTTGACTGGTTAAAGGAAAAGAGCTGGAGTTTAGACCATGCTAAGACAAATAGGGTCGGTTTACGGAGGTAGTTACTCTGTTCCTTTGGCTCATCTCCTGGTGTTGGCCCAGCCAGCCTTACCTCTCACCACCACATGTAGGGTATGGTGTCCCAGTGAGTGTCCCTTGTTCCTCCCCAGGACCAGGGGCCTTGAGAAAGTGGAAAGAGCTTTGCTGGGGAAAGTCCATCTCCCACTGGCCGGCGTTGGGACCGGCTACAGCTGGGAAGCTGGGCTCAGGCAGCCTCCCAGGGACTAAAACCCACACCGGAACTCCTGGGAAGGGAGGGTTATCCAGAGACAATGCCCACAGCTATGACTGTCCGTGAGCCCAGCAAGTGGGGACCCAGCAACAGAATGCTCCTTTGTTTCCTTATGGATCCACCTATGGGTTTCCTTGGGGACCCCCACTCTGCATGGGGCTGAGGACTCAGCCAAGGGTGGAGGTGAGGAATACCAACCTCGATGCTGAAAGGGGGGATTTTATCCCCAGACATTTTGTAGGAGCCAAGCAGCAGGTGGCCAGTGACAATCCGGGGTTGGGGGGCCCTTTTACTTCTGCCCCTCATTCTGTATTGTGGCTTGTTTTGATGCAGCCAGAGCAGGAGGATTTAACTGTTCTTTCTCAGCCTTGTAAACTGACCAAGTTAGGTCACCCAGAAGAAAAGTTAGGCTTCTGTGTGGTCTGAGAAGTCAACAGACTTCCTTTTTCTTAGGACTTTGTTCAGATACATTAGGGAAACTGGGAGTTCCCTGGCTGATTGTACCCTGCCCATCCACAAACACAACCACAGCAACTGCCCGCCCTCCCAGCGGCTCCTCAGTTGTCCACGCCCATCAGACAGGCACTAACCTGCTTCTGGTTGCCCCCTTCCAAGCGGGCACAACTGCCACCCACCAGCCCCACAGTTCTGAGCTGAGACAAGAAGCCGATGGTTGGCTAATGGCATTCAGACCCCTGCCTGAAAATAAAAAGAAAAAAAATAAATAATTTTCTGCTTGGGACAGCTTAAACTGAATAATTCTAGCTGTGACAACATGACCTAAATGCTTTTAATCAGAGCAGAAGAAATATATGCCCATTTGCTCTCCACTTTACTAATTAAAGACAGCTAATTGGTGTTGTCGGGAATTTCCGACTGAGGGTCAGGAGCCTCTAGTTGTTTCTTTGCCCCTCCTCTTTATGTCCCAGCCCTTCCCCCACCGGGCCGTCCCCACCGTGGAGTTGGCCTCTTTCCCGTAGACAATGGGGGGGGGGGCATCCTCTGGCTCCGCCCCTGCAACTGGGACTTTGGCCCTGAAAAGGAAATCCTGCTATTGGCCAGAAGTTCTGGCTCCGCAGGGCTGTCCCCCTTTGCTTGTCCCTGGACTTGCTTCTGAGAGCCCAGACATGGCCTAGGCTGCCGAGTCAGCACCGGCAGCTGGTGGGGTGCAGCTCCTGCTGGAGCCCCAGAGCTCTGCTCAGTGCTGGGCACTCGGTAGGCGCAGGAAGTGTTTGTTGATTAAGGAATCAAAGTGATCACCAGGCAAAGGCTGTGACTTGCTAGGGAGTCTCTGGGGCCGGTGCTTGCAAAGCTCCATGGCCTCCTGGCACTTTAGGAGATGTGCAAAACTAGCTTTTTGTCAAGATTTTCTGAGTTGTTCTAGTTAATTCCAGCTTTCTGGGTCTCTTATGTCTTCATTTTCTGAGGCAGCACCCTGCCTACTCCAGCAAAGGAAAGGGCTCACCGAGAAGCCAAATGAATATATGCTTCCACTCCCCAGATACTGCAGGCTAAAGGGAGTTTGAACCTGAAATGAGCCAGATAATTGCTCCAATTCTCTGTTTCTTATTGAAAAGGTAGTTACAAGCCAAGGGGTTCAAGGGGCCTCACTTTGATGGACATTGCTCTAAGTCAAAAGAATACATTAGACATACGCAGACTGAGCTGCACACCCTCTAGCCAAAACAGGCTCACGCCGCCACCGCCGCTGCCTCCTCTTCCCCCTCCTCCTCTTCCCCCTCCTCTTTGTCATTGATAGTTAGCATTTACTAAAAGCTCCCAAGTCCTTGTGCTAAATCCTAGACCCGTAGTACACTAACTAATCCTTACAACAGCCTGAAGAGTTGAGACATTCCGATTTTTGCAGTTAAAGAGTCAAGAATCATTTTTCGGTCAGAAGTGTGTGTGTGTGTGTGTGTGTGTGTGTGCGCGCGCACAAGGTTAGCGTGACGGTAGCAGATCTGAATGCTCTAGTGGTATAATGAAAACTGAGATGAGAAGATCTGCAAGTTTTGAAATATAGAATGCTTTCATAGAATGCAGCCAGTTTCTCCCGCCCTAAAGTGAACAAAGAAGTGAGGCAATTAGCTGGCTAATTCCAGCACCCAAATGCTTTCCCTTGAAACGGCCGGATAATGAGGCCGACAGTATGTTCGCAGTTGAATTCGCCTGATGTTGCTCCATTCCCCCTCCCTGACTTTTTGCGCATGCATTGGGCAATCACAGCGAGACGCGCAGACGCCACGTGGACGTGCACGCACGCACTCACGCGCAGGAATGCTGACACACACAGACCCGACTGTATTCTGCCTCCAGAGTCTTTTATGACTCAGCCTCGGGAGTGAAAATAGGGTTTGGAGCGAAATAATGCGCCCAGGGCCGGCGAGGGCGCAGCTGCTCCAGATGTGCGCCGGGTAATTAGGCGTCGGCGAGAGCCCTTGCCCGGCTGGGACGCGCGCGTCTCCGGGGACCGCGGGCGCCGCGGGCGCCGCGGGCGCCGCGCCGGAGTCGGCCCCGCAGTGGGAGGCGCGCTCCCTTTCCGGCTCCTCTTCTCCCCTCTTCCGTTGCGAGTGATTTTCAGGCGCCCCTGTCCTACGGGGAACTTTGGAGAAGCGCCGGGCAGGGGCTCCTCAGTATAAAATGGCGTCCCTGCCAAGGCGGGAGGGGAGGGGGTCCCGCTTTCTCCGTGCCAGGCGCTTCCTCAGGTCCTGGACATCTTTAAGCTCCGACTCGGAGGGGCGGCCTCATTGAGCCCTCCGCCAACTCAGCTGAGAGCCCGCATCCGAGCCTAGGAGCAGAGGGGCCCCACTGCCCGTCCCTGGCTTTGGGGCTTACGGAGCAGTCACGCCTCCGATACTTCCTCTCGGTTTTCGGGCTTATTTGTAAAGTGTTCAAACTTCACAACATCCCCGGCCAGGGGGTCTTGGACGGCCTAAGGCGCTTGGTTTGGCTGGGATGTTCCTGTCCCTATATCCGTCCCCCTAAACCTGAAATCCAAGGAACCCCGAACTTGCAACAAAGACACACCTCCTCTGGGTCGCCTGTCTGGGAATGAATGGTGCTTACAAGACACTGGCGTGTGTTGGGGGCGCGCGGTTGTCATTTGAAATAATTTTCCGTTCCAGGTGGACAGCGCGTCCTCCGGCCCTGCTTCGCCGCTTTTAGTAGCTGCTCTGATCTTAGGACTAAGTCACGTAATTTCTGGCAAGTGGGGGGAGGGGCGCTCCCCTCGGGCTGGCTGCAGGGGCAGATCAAAGCAGATTCGGGCCGCCTAGGGCTGCCCGGCGGCATCGGGGAGCGGCGAGGGGCCGGGGGCGGCCAGGGCCGGGGTTAGCTGCCGATCCCGCCCCCGGCCCGCTCGCGTTTAACCGTATTTCTCTTGCTTGGCAGAGGGCGCCCACGGCGACGCGCCGGCGGCCAGCGCCAGGCCGAGCCCAGTGCGCCTGCAGGACCCGGCCCCTTCTCCCGGCGCGGGACGCGGAGCTGCGCGAAGGTCCGGTCTGCGCGGACTCGACGCCAGGGCGCCGCCTAGAGGTTGGCCGCCGCCTCGGCCTCACCCTCCGGCGACCACGGAGCTGCTCCCCCTGCCGCCGCCAGACACTGGGGCGGGGGAGGTGGGGGGAGTCCAGTTTGGGTTCCAGAGACTGGGCTCCTGGCACCTTTGACTTCTCCGAGACCGCCTCCTCTCCGCCGCGTAATGAATCCCAGGAAGGGAGCGGGGCCAGGAAGTCCCAGAAGTCTTTATTCTTGTGACTCTCAGGAACGGAAAAGGGTCACCATTCGGTTTCTGGAAGGATCTGGTCGGAGCCTACGCTGCCCCCTCTCACCCTCCAAATTGTCCGGTCCCCTACAATTTATGCTGCGTTACCTTCAAGGAAGAAAGCGAGGAAGGAGAAGCTTTTTCCTAAATCTTACAGCATTGCCCGTCGATCTTCTGAATAATTTGGAGATCAGTTTGCTTTGGGGAAAAGTATTTGGAAAACACTTGGGTGTGAACAGAAGCGGTGCCTAAAATGGCCCTTTGCTCACCTCAGAGGCCAGCCCAGCCAGAGCCTGGGAGATGGCCAGGAGGGCACCTGCTGGCACCAGCACCCTGTTGGTGTGGTTCACCTGAGCGTTTCAAAGTTGACTTTGAAGACAGCTGGCCTTGGAGGGAATGAGTTACAGGTGTCCTTCGGTCCTACACCGAGTTTTTTTTTTTTTTTTTGAACTGAGATTCAAGGCCTGAGTTCTAGGGTTAGTTGGGGGGGGGGGGGGCACAAAAGGCCTGAAATGTATGCAGATTGTGTGTGTGTGCAGGTGCATCGTTCTAAGGCCCTGGTCTCTTCCGCTTTTACAAAAAGTCTAAGACTGTGAAATGACACAATCCCTCTTGCTCAGCGAGGGAACCACAGAGATCCAGGCCCACAGTGAGTAGGGAGCCAGCCACTGACCTGTCCCGGCTGCAGGCCCCCCACCAGGCATCCAAGAAGGGGATGTATAACAGCCCTGGACGCTCTGGAAGCCGCTGGTCCCACACTACTGCCCTGCACCTGTCCCTACCGGCTTGGATCATGGAGGCAAACCCTGATAGAAGAGGTGGCAACCACTGGCTGCCACCTCAGTCAGTGTTTTAAATAAAAATATAGCCTGACAGAGAGCAAAATGAGGATGCCGGGCCACAGCCCGAGAACAGGAGCCAGAGGGCTTCCCCTTGCAAGCCCTGGCATGCGAACGGGGCATGGCATCAGGATATTTCCTGTCTTCCTGCTGTTAAAGAGCCCCCCTCCTTCCTGCTTCCTGGTGCCAGGAGGGGGCCGGAGGGTACCTCCCCACTGCACCAGTCTCGTCTCTGGCCAGACTGGTCAGGGTAACACCGCCTGCAGCAAAGTGAGCCTGGCAGCATGTTTGGAAACTGCACGAACCGGCCTAGTATTTTCCCTGCCCGTTCCATTTTTTAAAAAACCTTCAGCAGTGTGTTGGTACTTTTTCATGGCGGAGGGGAGGGTTGACTGGATTAGGGCTGCACCTGTGTGTGTGTGTGTGTGTGTGTGTGTGTGTGTCTTTAGGAAGGGGGGGTGCACCGACTCCTCAAGCTGGGCTCAGCCCTGTACCTGGGCCCTGCGTGAGTCGGAGCTAACCTTTGTCCTGCAGCTCAGCCCTGAGTCCTGGTGTTTAGGGGTCAGTAATAACTGAGGCAGAATTGAATCTTCTTCGCTGTCTTACCCAGGCGCCTAAGGCAGACAAAGGAGCAGGAAGTCAGGAAGTCAGGAAGTCGGTCACTTTGCTCCCAGGTCTCCGGAATCCAAAGAGAAAAGAAACGTGTCTCAGGTTGGGTTTGCAGTGGCCTAAAGCGAATCCCCAAGACCCAAAGTTTTGGAAAAAGCCAACAGTCCAGACCATACAGACAAGGAAAGTGGAGACCCAGCTGTGGTTGCCTGTCTCTGATTTTGAGAGTTTCAAGGAGGCCGCGGTGGAGCTCCAAGGCGGGCTGGCTGCTGGCCGCTGCGGGACCCAGCTCAGCAGGGGTGGGGACCGGCCTGCCGCTTCCTCCTGTGGGAGCCCAGGGTCGGCTCAGCCCCCTCCCGGGCCTCAGAGGAGTCTTCCTGGGTGTTCTCTATGGCCCCTCCTTGCAGTAAATGGGTGAGGCAGGGCAAAGTTCTGGCTGCTAGAGAGAAGAGAACAGCACAGAACCCGCATTCAGCGGAGAGATGCGACCGATGCAGGCCCCAGAGGGCGCGGGGTGGGAGAGCTGGGGCCTCGGCGGGGACACCCAGCTCTGCCCAGCCTTGCGTGTACGCGGGGCTCCGTGGGGATGTCCAGTACCGGCCGCGGGGCCACCTCAGAGGCAGCGCTCGCCTAGCGGCGGCGGCGCAACCTAGAAGGCCCCGGGCCCCGGCTGCTTCTCTCCACGCGGACGGGGGCCGTGCGGGTGCTCCTAGTCTCATAAATTTGCTTCCCCCTCCCTTTAACCCGCCCCCTGGCCGTCTTTCTTCCCCGGACAGGAGGGGATGTAAACCGTTTGAAGTTCATCAGCACGGTGAAGTTTTATTGTATTTCCGGTCCCCAAGATTTATACCCGGGAGGGGGCGCGGGAGGCCTAGCGGACTCCCTCGTTACCTCGGACTTCCGTGTCGGACACGTGGACACTCGCCTCCCGGGCGAGGGAGGGAGGGAGCCGGCGGGACCCGGACAGGAACGCGGGCTCGGCACCTTGTGACTGCCACCGCCGCCCAGGTAAGTGCGCCGTCCTGGGCCCCGCGCGGCTGTGGCTGCCTGTGAGGTAGGGGAGGGGTGGGCGAGCGCCTGTGAGGATGTGGGCGTCAGGAGAGGGAGATGTGGGAGCGCAGGGCGTCGGCGGAGGGGCAGGGAGGAGGAATCCTTAGCCGCTGGGTTCCTTTTGCGTAGAAGGCGGGATCCTCTTACCTGGGGCCGGGGGCCCTGGGACGGTTCGGGCAGGGTGAGTTCATGGCTGACAGCCTGGCTTCGCAGTCCCGCTCTTCCTTCTTTGCTCCCTAGAATTCCTGACACCCTGCTTTTCCATCTTTCTCAGTGTGCTTTCACCACCCCCTTCTCCCGACTACACCCCAGTCTCTAAACCAACCATAAGGCTCTCACTACTGGGGAGGCTAGGTGACCTCCCTGGAATCCGGGGGCCAGCCGCTGGTGAGTGCGGACGCACCTTGGGAACAGTGTGGGAGTCCCTTTTTAATCTGTGGAGACCTCCAGCTGCAGGAGGGGCTGGGAGGCAGGGAACCCAGCAGGTGCAGCCAAGCAACCCCTCCCAAGCCGGGGGCTGGGCTAGGGCCTTCTGTGGCCGGGACCCCAGAAAAGAGCCAGCCTTCCCTGGGTTCTGAGTTGTCAGGACCCATTCTCAAACGGTTTTGCCTGGAGTCTGGGGTCCAGTTCTGCAGATGGGCGGTGTACCTGCAGCTGGGGAAGAGGGGGAGGAAGGCGAGGTGAATCAGCCCCTCAAAGGGGCCGTGGGGCCTGCCCCCCAGGGAGCCCTGGGCCTGGAGCTGGAACTGGAACTGCTGGGTGAATTAGGTAGTTTCATGTTGTTGGGCCTGGGTCTCTGAACACAACGACATGGAACCACCTGACTCACGGCAGTTACTGCTCCTCGCTTAGCTGGAGGAGTTGGGGGGAGAGGAAGGCTCAGGACTGCAGAGTGAAGAGAGTTGAGGCTCCTCTCCAGGAGCCACAAGGAAGTTACTGAGAGGAGAAAGTCCGCAGTGGCTCCGCACCTCGCAGTGTTTGCGGTGTGTGTGTTTGGGGGGCAGGTGCGGGGTGGGGGTATCATCCTACTCACCAAAGGCACCTTCCTGGCAGCTGGCAGCTCATCCTCCCAGCCGAGGACCTGGGACTTCACGTCTCCTGCCTTAGGGTCTGGGGCTCCTGCCTACATTCAGAACCTTCCAGAGAAAGTCCCGCCAACTCCACACATGCTTGGTTTCAACCAAGACACAAGGGAGTCCTTGAGATCATTACAACTCACACAGGTCTCAATCTGAAGGGGGGAGCAGAGATGCCCAACAGGCTTCTAGGGACCCCTAGGGGGACAGGACTCCCTCCCCTCAGAGGGACACGCAGAAATCCTTCCTTGCCTAAACCCACTTGACTTCTTTCCTACTGAGAGACCAAGGACTTCCCGGGGCTCTGGGACTGGGCTCCTGGTTCACAGAGGGCCCAGGGCTTGAGGGGGGCAGCCCCTGGCAGAGGGGCAGGCTAGTGGGGGACCCAGGTTGTGGGACAGTCCAGCCTAGAAGGACTCAGTGACAGGGCCAGTGCAGGAGGTGGGGCAGGGCGGGACTGTGATACCCTCTGTGACCCCAGGAAAGGAGTGACCAGTCGCACTGCTGAAGAGAGGGGGGCCTTGCAAAGCATAAGTTCACTTTTGTTCCCAAACTTTCCCCTGCTTGGGGCAGAGGAAATGTGCAAAGGGCCCCTGGAAGGAGGCCCGACCGGATGGGGCTGCGGCGACGGCGCCAGGCTGGCTTGGAGGGCGGGGGCTTTGAACAAGGGGCTTCTGCTAGGGCAGAGGGGCATGGGGGAGAGTTACCCCCAGCCCTGGGCAAAAGTAGCGTTCAGCCCACTGTCCTGGTAAGCAGGAGCCAACAAGGCTGTCCCCAACATTTGCGTCCTGTTCCTCCCCGAGAAAGCTGCCAGCAGTGTTCCTGTGGCCCTACCTTGCTTCTCACAAACCTGCCTGGCTCCGGGAGAGCCTCCGTGGCTTCCATCTCTGGCGTCCCTCAGCCACCCCCTCCCAGGAAAAGTGCTGTAAAAAGAGAAAAAAAAGGGGGGGGATGTTAGAGAGAAGGGAGGAAATAAAGTCTTTGGAAAGCAGAGAGTTTTACAACAGCCACAGGTTTTATGGAAGCAATTCCGTAACAACCTTCTACCTGCTCGGCTCCTTTCCGCCCGCCTGCCGCCCACCCCGTTTGGCCTCCTGGGTGCCCCCTCCCAAGGAGTCAGCCACCCCCACGGTGCTGGCCAGCCTTGAGGGCTGGGAGCTGGGAAGGAGATTCCTGAGGTCGGCTTGAGCAACTGACCTCTCCGTCCTTCCTTTCACCCCTGACGCCCAGAGAGGGAGGTCTGGAGGGAGATTTCGTTATTTCACAGTTAGACCCCCACTCGGGGGCTGTGGCAGGACCGGAGTGTGAATGCGTGTGTGCCCATTCGATGTGATGCCTGTTTGGGGGGTCATTTTGTATCAAGAGTATGGGGTCCTAGGACCTTGGTTTCTTCTCGCTTGGGAACAAGTGCGCTCACGCCCCACTCTCTCCCAGAGATCCTGGATCAGAAGAAATACCTCAAGGTACTTGGGAACATAGATCGGGGACGTTGCTAATTATGTCGTCCACCGCAGTGTCGTCGTGTGACTTTCACAGTTACCTGAGTGCTTTTAAGCTCAGCCCAGGCCATCTCTGCCCACCTCATCTTCACACTTGAGTAGGACACATGTATGGACAAGTACCAGTGCCTCCAGCCCCATGCCCATCACCGCCTTAAAAATCAGCATCCCACAGCACACACTGGCCCTGCAGTGTCGGGTAAGATAACACAGAAAAGGATTTTGTGCTCGAACAAAGAAGTCACAACATTTCATGACTTCTAGGAAAACAGGCATTTTCTTCGACCTTCTCGAGGAGTGATTTGGAAGGAAGTTTGCGATAGAAACCTGCCTTAAATCACGGGCATTCGTGGGAAAAGGCTGCAGACATTTTGCTTGAATATCAAGTTGAGAGGCAGGTTTTCAACAGAGGCTTTGGAATCAGCTGATATTTTATAGCCACAATTCACGTACACAAATATCAAGTTTTTTGCTTTCTCCATGGTTGTACGATGGTTTTAACAAGGTACGCACAAGCTTTGGGGTCGTAGATCTTCTTATAAGAGAAGAATCGTTAACCCACATCACTCACAGGGGTGATACACGCATCCCCATAAGCACAATTAGCGCCTATATACAAATACCCAGATACAGCTAGTATTATACTTGGGCAGATTTATTTATCGCATATTCTATACACAGAATACAGCCCAGCACTTTGCACACAGGGTTCCCCATACAGAAATACTGACTTGAAATCTACATATAGGATGCAGACATCTATACCAATGCGGCATACGGAAAACTCAGTTTAGCTTATTCATTAAAAACAAACTATTTTTCCCTTTTCTCATTTACTGTTTTTCTTTTCTTCTTTCCACTCCGATTTCCTTCCCTCCCTCTAGATTTTCTGTCTCTTCTAACTGACAAGCATCCTTTCCCAAGCCATCTTCCAAGCTCCAGTACTCACCGCCTGCTTCCGGCCAGGGTCAGCCTCTGCTCTTCCAACCCCGGCCTCGCTCTTGGCTGCTCTGGGCCCCAGTGTGGCCAGGGGCTGCCGGGTTCTCTGCCTGCCCTCCCCCAAGCCACCAGCTCCAGCCTCAGCTGTGTTCGGGGAGGCTCCAGGAAAGGGAATGACAAGAGGCTGCGAGAAGGCAGGGTTTTTTCCTTCTTTCTCTTAGGGATGGGGGTGGGGTGCCAGCACTTTTGCTCTCTCCGGACAAAGTGACCCCCACTAAAGCAAACCCCCCCCCCGTTAAGTGTTTTTCGAAGCTGGGCTCCAGGGGCCACAGTCCTGTTTGGGCTCCTCTGTCATGGGGGCTACCATGGTCTGGTGGAGAAAACAAAATTGCTGTTGTTTGGGGAGTGGGGTGAGTCCTACAGGTTCTCAGAGCATCCAAGCAAGGGCACCCTCTTAGCTGACCCTCCATCATTCTCCTCAGCTGGAGTTGAACTCCAATTTGGACTAGCAGAGCTTTCTGGCAAGTTGGCTGAGGTGGGACCTACTGCTTGCAGCACCCACGGGCTCACCTGGATGGAGGTGAGCCGGGGTGCAGACTCCAGGGCTTGGGAGTCATTGTGTTCCCTCTGAACCCACCAAGGCCTCCCCAAACTGCCATTTTGAAGTTGTCCCCACTGTCCAGCTTCTTTGAGAGCCAACGCCTGAGCCCTAGTCTCAGTAAAGAGACCTGGGGCCTCTCACCCAGCTCCCAGCAGCCGCCGGGGATTGGGGGTGATTTCCCCAGGCAGCATCAACCCCCAGATCTGGACTGTGCTGGGACGCAGAGCACAAGCAGCCAGGAGCCGCACTGTTCTTCCTCTCACTTCTTTTCTCAACTAAGTGGCCCTCCTGCCTCCTCTTCGCTCACTAGCAAAAGGCAGGGCTGGCGAATGGGAACCAGGAGGGCGGCCGTCAGAGCCCAGTGCCTGCACAGCTCGGGCCATAAGAGCAGCCCAGCCCTCTGACTTCTCCATAAATAAAACAGCCCTAGCCCCCAGTCCACATGTCCTTTTGGGCCCTAATTTATATACTACAGAAAATCATATACTCGGGCCGCCATGCTTCATAAGGCTGTTATTTATGGCGGGGGAGGGGATTTTTTTTTTCCTGAAGAGTATATTTATTACAGGTAAAACCGACAGCCGACTCCATAGGCCTGGCAAATCGGGAACAGGTGCTTTGCCTTAACTGACGCATTTGCTCAGCGCCCCGCTCTCTGGCTGCCTGTCCGGGGAGCTGCTTCCACTTCCCCAAGTGTCCAGCCGCTACTTAGCAGAATTTGCATCGAATTTTTGTTGCCCCCACTTGGGTCCTATGGAGAAACGAAGATCTTCACGCTGTTTGGTTCCGGATCTGCCGGGCTGTCGCCCTCAGAGAGCGGGGGAGGAATAGGAGGGGGCCGGCTGGGCGCCAGCATTGATCTTTAAAAAATCATTTTGAAATCGCCATAATGTGAAGAAATATGGCGCTTCGCCCTCGTATTTCACTCGTAATGACACGAGATGGCTTCATTTGGAAAGAGAACGCGGGCGGGAGTGTGCCTGTGCGGAGGTGATCCGCAGCCTTCCGGTGGGGCACAGGGTCCGTGGCCAAAAAAAATAAAACCCCAAGTTAGAATGGCCCCGCTTTTGTTCCAAGGACCGCGCTCCGGGGACGAGGCCGTGGCTGCCGGGGCCGCCTGCCGCCGTACAGCGGCGCAGGGTCCGAGGCTGGCCGAGAAATGTGCCCCAGTCCGCCCTGCAAACTGACTCGGGGCGAACCTGCCCAGCCCCACACCGCCAAGAGAGGCGACTGCACCCCAGGAAGAAGCTGAGGCGCAAGGCTGGGAGGGGGCTCGGGGGAGTCCCAGCGCAAGCCCGCAGAGGAGCGGCCGGCAGACCCGGCTGCTTGGGAGCTCAGGCTCAGGGCGTCCGCGGGAGGACCGGCGGCGGGGGCGCATGACCAGCCCGGGGTCTCGCTGTCCACACCCGTGCCCTAGCCTGCTGTTGGCAGACCATCCAGCGGCGGTCCCGAGAGTGAGGAGAGGGAGACAGGAGGGACCTTTCTTCTCCTAGGTGACCCCGTCCCAGGCTGTTTGGGGACCCTTTAGGTGCCTTCGCTGTGGTGGCTCCTCAGAGACAGCCCCTTAACCCTTTCCCTGTTCAGCTCCCGGGGGGGGGGGGGGGTAGAGAAGCGATGGTAGGGACCTGGGCAGTTTCTCAGGGAAGGAGAAAAGAAAAGGCTATGCATCCCTACCTCTACCATCACCCAACCCCATCCCTCTGGCCAGGGCCAGAGAAAGCCCTAAAAACTGAAAGGCGCTTGGGTCAGTTCCACTACTTCCAGGCTCAAGTTTGCAGGGCCAGCGAAATCCCTCCAAGGCCGGGCACGTTCTCATTTCAGAGTAAACAGTGGCTCCTTGGACGCTCAGCCTGCCCATGCCCCTCTCTCCTTCTCCTCCAGCCCCCAGGAGGGTCGGAGCAAGCTCCTAGTCATGTCAGCCTCCCCAAAGAGTGCTCCAAAGCTGCCATGTCCTATAAAACCCCCAACTTCTCCCGCGCCCCCTTTACTTCATCTCCCGTGGGTTGCTGCTGTTTAATAAACACCTTCTGTCAAGGGGACCGAGCAGAAGAAATAAGGGCCCACGGGGTGGGGTTGGAGGTGGAGGTGATGGCGGGTGGGGGGGGGGGACAGGGCCCCACCTCCTCTTTAATTATCCAGCCGGCCTCTCCGGCTGCTCCCTAGGGCTGGGGCTCCCTCCCTGGACCCGCCCGGGGAGAGGGCTCCGCAGCCTGCGTCCCTCCCGCGGCTGCCCGCCGCTTCCCTCCGCCTCTCCCCCGATATTACTAACAGGAGACAAAACCTACCGTTAGTGTCCCGTTTTCTACGCTATCCTTATATGAAACTAAAATAGAAACGAAGAGTAAATCCAACATTCAGAGTTAGCAGAAAGATATCAGAACATAAATGACAACATCAACTGCTTCATTGAACGAGTAGAGACGTAGAACACTGGCTGTGTATCTCCTTCCTGTCACAAAAATAGAAAAGACATAATAAAGATCATTTGCATACAATCTACACTGCTTCGATCTAGGACCCCTATCATTCCATGAATCGTATCAGCGACATGTAACGTGAGAACTGACTGCCGAATGTCTTGTAAAATATAATTTATAAGTGTATACCAACAGCTAGAAAATTCTGACTAGAGGTAATTCAAGAATAAAGACAGTGCATACTCGGTTAGATCGCCTACACCAGATCAATAACGTAGCGACCACCCTGGAGACTTGCTAGATAGGGAGTATCACCTATTCTACTGAGTACTATCTTAGA